AGTAACTTCACATTTACCATTATTTCACTATCTCTTTCAAAAAAAAAAAAAAAAAAAAAAACATCAAGCAAACATCATGTTCATTCAGTGAGGTTTTGAAGTGAAGTAAGTGGTCTTGTGAAGGTATGTTTCAAAAGATAATGAGCATACATAGATGTGCAAGTGAGCACTAAGGAAGCTCACACTGTTTTGAATTAGTTTCGAAATAAGGTTCAGCTACACATGTGGCTTCAAAAAAAAGTTGAGCTACAAAATGCTACTAGCTAGAAGCATGTAAATCCTTAATGTTGACCAATTATCAGAGCTAAAATATTTCAAAGTATGTAAAACTTATAGTTCGTATATTCTAAGAATCCTCATCAGCAAAAACAAATTTGATCACTTTCGTACACAATGAAGAATTTTTTGGTAAAAGAATACAAAATTCTTCATTTTGAGAAATTGATGGAATAGCAAGACAAAAAATTATCAAATCATACGAATCTGATTAGTGTACGATGAAAATAAAATTTAAAAATTCAGGAAATGCTATAAAAACATCAGAGGATCCAAAAGAAATCCACACATTACACAAGTAACAAGTTTCTCTTTAGAGAAGAAACAATGAAAGCTTGTTGAAGTCTCTTGCACTGAGTTTGGATAGCAATATTGAAAAGACGGGAAAGGAAGGGAAAAAAGAGGGAAAAGTGAGGGAGGGGAGGGTAAAAGTGACCTTCCACTTTTCTTCCAAATCTCTCCTATGAGTCCTATTGAAAAAAGGGAAAATGTATCCATCACATTCCCTTCCCTTCCGTTCCTTTCTCTCCAAACCTTCTTATCCAAACATAATGTTAATAATTGACAGTTTCCCACAACAAAACAAAACAAAACAAAACAAAACAAGAAGATCCTGATTACAGTAGCACTAACAGGTTAAGGAGATCCTAATTACAGTACCACTAACAAGTTGAGAAGATCCTAATACAGTACCACTGGCTCGTCTCCATCACATTTAACAAACAAATTCTACTTTATAGTAATAAATTGCACATCACTATAAACATAGGCTAATCAATTTACTTCCCAACCCTACAAATAACTTCCCTAATGTACCAAAAACCGGTCTTCCACACCCCTACAAAGGCTACAATAGATTCCCAGCAAGTAAGCAAAACTCTATATATCATGATATGTTTCTCCCAAACTTCACACTTTAAAAACACCACACTCATCCAAAATACCACCATGACCATCTCACATATCGAGGTATGATACATCATACACGATAAATGGACCATTGAGTCCATAGCCAATCACGCTTAACGCAACTGCACGTCATTAATACATATGCAAATCAATTTCAGTTCCCAATCCTAAAATTAGTTCCATTATTATGCCAAAAACCCGTCTACCGCAATCAAAAATAGAATAATAACGAGCAAAGAATGATCATGATAGATTCCTCCAAAGTTTGTACATTTCAAACACAACAATTACTTACGATACTACCCCAAATCATACAACCACAATAATTACCACCACCTGTATCAGATATCAAGAGACAATACATCATACACTAAAAAGTGCACATTCGAGTTGAACATATTCTCTATGTATACGGCTAATATAACAACAAACAATAAACAACAACGATCAAATACCAATTCTTAAGAACTCCAATGCAATTATCATTTTCGATAACATTTCCGACTAACAATACGATTAACAAATGCCAACAATGATCCTAAACACCGATAACATTTCCGACTAATTCTTCAATTATCAAACACTAATTCATAAAAACTCCACTGCAATTGAAAACAAAGAAAAAGAATCCAAGAAACAAACCCAGGTTGTCGGCGCATCTTGAAGCTATCAGTAGTGAAACCAATAGCAATCTGACCTTTAGCACCAGCGTTAATCACCTTCATTTCGAAGTAATACATGAGTCGTTTCACCGGAGCAGGGTGATTCGCTTGAATAACACCGACATCGTGGCCGTGCAAATTAACACCTGTATATTCAACCGATAGTTTATCAGTCGAAACCACCAAGAATCCGCCGGAACTGTTAATGGTGTTCAATTCCATCGGAATTGATTCGTTTTCATTGTCGAGTTCTTCGCTTGAAGATGCGCTCAGTTTCGCTTGCTCAAGGAAGTAATTGCTGATTTGTTCTTGCTGATTTGCCACCATTTTTGTGTCAATTTTAGAAACCCTAGTTCATTTGATTGGAATTTGAAGCTAGAAATTGGGATTTGATCAAAGTTAAAACCCTAGGTTGATCGATCGAGAAGTTGGGAATGGTGTCGAAGTTGAGGAGAAAGAAAGAGAAGAGGTGGCCGGTGGGTTCGCTGATTCTTTTTTTAACATTTGGGGACAATTTAGACTTTTCCCCTGATTTTTAAGCAAATTAAAAAGATATTTTTTCACAAGTAAATTCAATTCATTAACAGTTCGGTATACGAATACAAATGGAATATGAAGTTAAACAAATACATACAGAGTAGCAATTTAAATTAAATGATGGATTCGTTCATCAAATTTGTGAATCTACCATGGTTGAATAGATCTTTATCAGTGCAATGTGAAATCTCTATCATGTATATTGTTAAAATGTATAGACTTTTTCGGAGAGACAATCTAACAATTTGTTGTACTTTGAGGGATAATTTCCATCTGCTTGTATTTGAAGAACTAAAAGCTCTTGCCACACCATATGATTTTTCATCAACAAACCAAAATTAAACTCATATTTATACCCTACAAAACCTACCAAAAGAGAACGCACTGCATTCAAACAATATAATTTAATCGAAAATAAAAACATGTGCTAATTAAATAGAGATGGTCAAATACAACCAATTTTCTTAAAAAAATTTGGCTATTTCTGGCCCCCTAAAAATTTCATATTTAAGGTATACGCAACTACTAGTTAAATTTAAAATGAGTTCTAAAAAAGAAAAATAAAAAGGGATGTATTACGCGCGATACCTATAAAGTACCCTGAATACTTCACAACATCGCTTCATTTCAATTTACTACACTCTAGTCTTTTCACCTTTATACACTGCAAACGACGCATCAATTCAGTTGTTAACTGTTCTTTACAACACTCGCCCAATTTTCTCTCAACTATAAATTTTGTAAGAAGTTTCATCGCATGCAAATTTATTTATTTATTTATTTTTTTGAAATCCCACTGTCAATTTGATCGCATTTCATATTTTAATTTTATCCAATTTCATAAAAATATTTCGTAATATTTTATATATTTTTTTCATCTTTTAACGGATTGATAATATATTCATGTAATTTGTAATATTTCGTAAAATTAATGAAATATGATATGGAGCAACATAAAAAAAAAAATCTCAATTAGCATAATCATATCTTTTTGTAAGTGAATGAGAATCATAACTCAAAAACAATAGCAGCACCCTTGAAATTTTGTTGATCATTTTTATTATAAGGCACATGATCACTAGTGCATGAATTGAATGTTATCGGTAATGGTCCCCAAACAGCTTGCTAGAATAAACACATAAAAAGTATTGAAAAACAAAAAGTGTACTCCTTTTTAGGCAGTGATACAACAATAACAAAGCAGCGGCGACAACTGCAATAATTTTTTTTTTTTTTTGACGGGGAGTAACGGAATTTATTAATTAGCCAAAGCATCCATGAGTACATACAGGGCTATATTTGGGGGAACATGATTTTCCCAAATTTGCTCAAGATCAAAAGGAATAAAATTAGCAAGGGTGTGTGCCACTACATTTCCATCCCTCTTCACGTGGCTCCATTGGAGTGTACCATACGAAGAGCTCAAAGCCATGGCATCGCCTAAGACCAAATCCATTTCAGTACTGTAGCTTGCCTCCTTCGAGAGCCTTGTGAACACAGTTTGGCAATCCGTTTCGAGGATATCATTGTTGTACCCATACTTCGCGCCTAGACTCAGAGCCCAAGCAACAGCTTTCGCCTAAGCAACTTCAATAGTCCACCAAGCTTTGATCCTCTTCGTGGCCGCAAACAAAACAATCCCTACATTATCTCTGGCAACCACACCTGATCCCACCCAGCCATCATTCGAAATTGAGGCATCCGATTGATTTTAATGGTCCCTTCGGGGGGGAACCCATCTATTCGGGCTTCGACAGGTATTAGCTGTGGCAGCTCTGCTAGCAACATTAATCATCTCCGAGCTTTCCCCTTCCCATCTCAACACACGAGCTGCAAGCACGTCAGTAGGTGTATCCTTCCCTTGAAAAACCTTCCTGTTTCTATCTTGCCAAATACCCCACAATAAGTATATGCCACGGTGCATGACATTCTTCTCCAGGTTTTTCCAGCTTTCGATAATCTCGCAAACTTCTAGTGAGTCCACATCTTTCACCATTTAAGCACAGCCCAAATTAGCCCACAGTTCACTAATTCGCTCACATTTAAAGAAAGCATGCTTCCAAGTTTCAGCCTCACGAGCACACCAAGGGCACCAATCTTCCTCAACCAAATGTCGATGCTTCAAGAGTCCACGGACCGGGATTGTGTTTGTGCATAGTCTCAACAGAAAATTTCGAGCCTTCGGGAATACGTTTGCCTTCCATATCTCAACCCAAGCCTGGTGAAAATCATCTAGATTACACCCTTTACCGAGCATGTAGGCTGTTTTGACAGTGTACATGCCATTCTTCGAAAATGCCCATGTTAATTCATCGGTGGGAATTCTTGAACTTAGTGGGATTGCTAAGATGCTTTTAACATCTCTTTCATTGAAATGTTTTTGTATCAAGTCGTAATCCCATACCATATGCTAAAAAGTTATGAGATCGCTGACCTTGGTTACTTCCAACGAAGGATCACTAGTAGCAAACCTGCTACTATCATCACAGAGCCATGGGTCCACCCATATATTAATACTGCTTCCATTCCCAACTCGCCAAAGCATACCTTCTTTCACCAAGGCTTTCGAACCCCATATACTTCTCCATGAGAAGCTACCACCATGTCCCAGATAATTTAAGCGCCAAGGAAGTCCGAATTGTTATAGTATTTAGCCTTCAACACTCGGCTAAGAAGTGAGGTGGTGTTTGTCAACACTCTCCATGCTTGTCTACCTAGAAGGGCCACATTGAAAACTTCTAAATCTCGGAACCCCATGCCTCCTAAACATTTAAGAGTACACATTGAGTCCCAACTCTTCCAATGTATGCGCTTTCGATCCTCACTTTGGCCCCACCAAAAGTTAGCCATAGCTGAATGAATCTTTCTCACCACCTCTATGGGAAATTTGTACACACCCATAAGGTAGGTAGGAATCGCTTGGATTAAGGACTTCAAAAGAATTTCTTTCCCAGCTTGGGATAGCATCTTTTCCTTCCAACCCTGCAATTTTTTCCACACCCTATCAAGAACCGCTTTAAAAATTCCTCTTTTCGATCTCCCCAGGATATTCGGAATGCCTAGGTATTTATCATGGCAATCTACCTGTTTCATATTCAGAATCCCCAAAATCTCTGTTTTTTGCTCAGTTTTCACCCCTCTGCTAAAAGATACTTCCGACTTTTCGTAGTTAATTTTTTGCCCTGATGCTGCTTCGTACTGGTTGAGAATATCAACAATGTTTGAGCATTCCTGTCGGGTAGCTCTAGTAAAGAGTAAACTGTCATCTGCAAAGAGAAGATGAGAAATTTCCGGACCCTTTCTGCTAGCCTTCACACCATGAATATCCCCTTTTTCTGCCTTACTCTGAATCATATGAGAAAAAGTGTCAGCCACAATAATGAATAAGTAAGGAGAAAGAGGGTGACCTTGCCGTAAACCTCTAGTAGGGGACACCACTCCACACACCTCCCCATTAATTACAAAGGAATATTTTACCGATGTTACGAGCCGCATTACCAAGTTGACCCATCTCCCATCAAAACCCATTTTTAACAATAGTTGCCGTAAAAAACCCCATTCAACCCGATCATAAGCCTTGCTCATGTCTAGCTTCATAGCGATATGGCCCTTTCGCCCCTTACTTCTCTTCTTCATAGAATGGAAACATTCTAAAGCAATAAGAGCATTATCAGTAATCAAACGACTCGGAACAAAGGCACTCTGATTTTCAGAAATAATCTCTTTTAACACATCTTTCAACCTAATCACTAGACATTTTAAGACAAGTTTATACAGTACATTACAGAGGCTAATAGGGCGGAAATCCACTGCAAATTTGGGTTCTTTAATTTTCGGGATTAGGGCTATGTTGGTTTTATTGACTCTTTCCGGCAAAGAATTCCCATTTAGAATACCAACAACAAAATTTGCAACGTCATCACCAACTATATGCCAAAAACGTTGATAAAAATAGCATGCATACCGTCCGGACCCGGGGCTTTGCTAGGGTGCATTTGCTTAAGAGCCAACTGAACATCTTCCTTCGTATATGGTCTCGTGAGTCTGTCATTCATGGCCTGTGAAATTACAGCTCGTACTTTGGTGAGCACGTGGTCAAAGGCAGCATTTGTTGGCTTCGAAGATGTAAAAATATCTTCAAAGTAGTCGCTGACGATGGTGGCTATCTCCTCCTCATCTTCTCTCCAGATACCATTCCCGTCCCAAAGACCACTTATAGTATTCTTTCTTTGACGTTGAGAGGCTTTGTGGTGGAAATATCTCGTGTTTTTGTCCCCTTCCCTTACCTCCGCAACTCTCGATCTTATGTGCCAATATGACTCATATTTTCCTTCTAACTCTTCTAACTTCTGCTCAAGCTCAATGCAAGTTTTACAACTCTCTTCATTGCTCGGCCTTTCTTGTGCCTTTTGAAGAGCATACTCGGTATCTGCTATCTGCTTACCCAGCTTGTTGTAATGTTCATCACTCCACATTTGCAACCTTCTTCCCACCACAGTCACCTTGCCCATTATGTCCGAATTTTCATTCCCCTCCCACGCATCTTTGACAATTTCTTCACAAGCCTCGTCTGTGAGCCAAAAGGTCTCAAATTTGAAACCTTTTTTCTTTTTCTTCTTCTTTTTTGTTGTGAAATCATTGTAGTGGAGTAGAATAGGGGCATGGTCAGATTTGATGCGTATAATGTGGTCTACACAAGCTTCTTTAAACATCTCACACCAAGAAACCGAGCCAAGAAACCTATCCAATCTTTCACGAACCCTTGTTTCCGGATTTCTACCCCGTTCCCAAGTGTACCAAGCACCTCTATATCCCAAGTCTCGCAGTTCACAATCAGAAACTACCCCCTAAAATTCTCCATCTCCTTCCTCTCCCCAAGAGCTCCACCTTCCCTCTCGTCATAAGCTAACAGTTCATTAAAGTCCCCTCCCAGCAAGATTGGAATTTCTTCCTCGCATAACTGGCGAATAAGTCTCCAGGTATGAGCTTTTTCTTTCGTTCTTGCCCAACCATAAATTCCAGCGAACCTCCACTTCAAAATTCCTTCGCTCCAGATATCACCACATATGTGATGTTGAGAGAAGGATGTTAGCCTAAAATCCACCTTTTCCCTCCAATAACCCCCTGAACGACCATTGCTTGAGACCCCAAAATCACCGTGGAATCCCAATACCCCCTTGATGTTTTCTACAATGGTATTCTCAACCATAGTCTCAGCTATGAAGAGAATATCTGGGCTGAATTTTTGACTCCATTTTTGGAGTCTCCGAACTGCTCGGGGGTTGCCCATTCCCCGACAGTTCCATGCAAGGATACTCATTGGGTGAGGCGGGGTTGGTCAATTCCAACCTCCGCCATTGGCCCCACACCATTCAAGTATTTTGTGTAAATGATCTTTTTCCCAACGTGACTGTCTTCCTCCATTTCCCCTGCATCTTCCCTTATTCGTTTTCCCATTTCTACTCGTGTGCCTTCCTTCTTATTCTCACCACCATCATCCCTGCTAACTCTTTTCCACTGTCTCATACCCCCCCTTTTTTCTGCTTTATCATTCTTGCACAGCGATTGTGATACATACTTTGGTATCAGGAGCAGTAGTAGTAATCTTCTCCTCTATCCCAGTATCCTCCCGAGCCAAGGTCCTCTCCTCTGTCCCCTCAGTTGCATTATCCTCTATCCCATCAACAGCTATCAACCGCTGGTTGTCATGAGCATCTGCCCGATCATTCATGGCCTCAATATCTTGCAATATGTCTCTCTGGGCAGTGGTTACACTCTTCACAGCATACCCCTTTCCAGTGTCAAGGTTCTGATTTGGTGGCTTTGTGATAAAGAGTTTTCTCACAGCCTTGCTTAGGTCCCCTGCATCGTCATAATTTTCATTTTTTGTTGCTTTCCATGGAGTGGCAACCCTAAGCTTCTCGCTGAATTTTCAGTGCAACACACTCTCTTCACAATCCTTCTCACCGTGACCTAGCATACCACAAATATAGCAAAATACGGGGAGTCTTTCATACTTGATCGGAACCTCCAACACTCCCCTCCCTGTTCTTATTTCCACAGATTTCTTTAAGGGTTTATTAACATCAATCTTGACTCTAATCCTTAAGGATTTGTTAATCCCAATCACATCAGATTTATCCATCGTGATATACAAACCAAAAATTTTATCCCCTATCCTCCTGGCATTCTCTTCATTACTTCTACCTCTAAAAGGCAAATCATAGACACGTATCCAAAACGGCACAAAATGCAGAGGAATTTCAGAAGGTTTCATGTTACCTGTTGCATCGTCTAATATCATGATGTGATGATCAAAGTGCCAAGGTTGTGACTCCATGACATAATGTTTATCTTTCCAGTGATGAAATTGGAAAAAGAAAGTTTTTTCTCCTATAACATTGGCTTCACAGCCATGCTTAGGGTTTCACAATTTTTTTAGAGTGGTAATTAGGGCATTCGAATTAACGTTTCGAGACGTGTGAATTCTTCCTACTACTGCTAATTCAATCTGAGCCTCTTCATCTTCGCCCCCTCCATCCACCCAATCAATGCCTGACGGTTCTATATTGAGATCAAGAGCAGCGCTTTCCTTCTCTCCAGTTCGAGCCATTGACACGAAGAAGCAGGGTATCAATACTACTGATTAAGCAAAAGTAATTAAACTGAAAGTGATGATTAAACAAACTTCGAGATCGGAGCAAAACCTAGCAAAGGCTAGAAAGAAAACCCTCCTAAGAGAAAACCCTAGAGGGACATTTTTTACTACAATAATTGACACAACTGAAGTTTAGCAATAATCAAATTTGGAAACTAAACCAACAAAGCTAATTAAATTTCAATTCAAATAATAAGTACTAAGTTACACAAGCTTGCAACTGCTAGCCCATTACCAAAAAAACACAATAAAAGCCGCTTTACATACCAACAAGTCAACAACAACATTTAACGGTACAAGTAACAACAACCCAACACACATTGCACAGTCTAATCATACACGACATGTACCTAACCTAACCTACACCACTCCAAAGTGACCAAACAACCTTCTCTCCTACCCATGCCAAACAGAATACTACTCCGTATATTACTATGTGTTGCAATTGATACTTTCTCTATTTTACAAATATTGCAATAAGGATGAAATTACGCATTGTATAACACATTTTATGTGTTAAATATCCATAATTATATCCCTCTATCCCATAATATAGTTCCTGTTTTCCTATTTGGAGATCTAAAATGTTGTTCTTGTTTCTATTTTTGGATAGTATGTAAAGACCATTATACTCTCATTTTCTTAACTTTATTCATTGTATTTCCAAAATTAATCTTGAATTTTGCAGATACCTTGTACTTTTTTCCACTTTCTCTCTCTAACTTACTTTTCCCTTTTATTAATGTAGTTCATCCACTTTTTCCTCCTATTTCTTAAATATCGTGAAAAAACACAAACAAGCGAGCTCTTTCCCAAATTAATGTCAAGAATTACCGCAATTCCCAAACTACAGCCTCTTCTTTTTATTTTCCCATTCTACCGTCCAAGTAAGCACTGGTTAAAAAATCGGTTTTTTTTTTTCCGGTCTAGGGTAAACCGCTACTTCAAGTAGCGGTTTCTTTGCAATAAACCGCCACTTCAAGTAGCGGTTTCTTAGTTTAAAACCGCTACTTCAAGTAGCGGTTTACCCTGGACTGGTTTTTTTTTCAAACTTACATAATCATTCAAAAAAAAACCTGCAAGTTGTGTACCTGTAAAACATGAGATATATAGCATATTTTCAACACAACCACCACAAATAACAAGTTTATGAAGATCTAAGGAAGTCGAAATTGCAAAGTCGAATATTTTTCAATTGATTAAATATAACAAAATCCAATTCTAAGCATTTACAAAAAAATTAGTTTAGTTCCAAAATATACACTTAGCTCGGGCGTTGCTTCTTCCCATGAGGTGACGATGAAGATGATGCAGCTGTCTCCTCTGGAATGTCATCCAGGCCAACTCCAACCCCAGACGTAGTGTTGCTACGCCGTTGGTTTCTCTGATACTGGCGATGCACCAGTGGAGGAGATGTCATGATAGTATGCTGAGAAGGAGGAGGTTCATGCAAGAGAGGGCGAATGTGAGTCGGTGGACGGAAGGCACGTGCTGAATGGCCTCCACGATGAGGTGGTGGTCTGATCGGCCTAGTGTGCACAGTAGAAGATGAGGACGTGGACGGTCAAGGCAGCTGAATAAGGTGTGACTGCCCCACCCTAGACAAGGTTTGCCCACAAAATGATGTAAAACCCTGCATCGTCTGTATGGCAAATGGTATAGCCGTCTCTGGTGGCAAGTGGGAGATGGTCTCAGTAGCTCCCGATAGCTGGACGTGCAAATCAGCAAATGCATGTGCCTACATTGAAGTGTAGTTTTAATGTTAGTAAAATGAAATCAAAAACGTAAGAACTAGATTGAAATAAAGTGAAGTTCATACAAGCAGGAGGTCAGAGGTAGCTGGCTGGTAATGACTTGGGGGGTGCTCCTGCGAAGGTGGAGTAATGACCAATCTCGTGATGCGACGGTACCAAGCCATTTACTCTGTCATGGCCGGGGAAGAAGTCCTAGTGAACGGGTATCCCTGGACGACTAATGCCTCTCGTCGACTCCACTCGTGTACATGGTCCGAATGCCGAATCTCCCAATTACGCTGTCCCCTTCGATCCTTCCTGTGTAGAGCAACGTCCGTGTCTACATCCTGTGGGATCGGCTGGTCTAACCCGAACTGACGAAGGACTCGGTCTGGGAGGTGGAACTCAACGACGTCAAAGCATATCAGAGGTGCCCGTGTACGCCAAATGTGCATGTCTGAGCGACAAATCTTCGGAAGTCGATCCATCACCGCCTCAGCATATGGCTGTCAAATCATCTAATTCCCAAAACAAGTATGTCAACATGTATATGACTAACATAATGGAAGAAAAACAATGCACTAAAAAAAAAGAAACACCGATTGTACCTGGTCCTCGCGCTGATGGTCAAACGCATCTCTGTAGTATGGTAGTCCAGAAGCAGTATGCGCACACGATAGATGGACACGTAACTGACAAGCGCACATTAGGGCGCGCTTTAAGGCATATAAATGGGTGATTTTGGATGTATTTAGGCCCGTTTTGGTCGTTTATTGCCTTGTTACACTTGTTTCCTTCATATTACGTGCTTCACGGGTTTCGGTCTGTTTTTGGTGTGTTAACAGGTATAGTTGACCAAGTTATGTCGAGTCCCGAACCATTGGTGCGTAATCAGGCTATTATCGATCCTAGTCCACCAAGCTAAGGCTTTGCTGCGGTTCTCAAGGCCTTGAAAGGCAAGTTAAGTAGCAGGCAAGGCAGAACAGTTCACAAATATGACACCTGTTCACTATTTTGCTCACAACTTTCGGTATACAAATGATAATGGAGTGATTCTAATTGCATTGGAAAGTAGACTTGAAGAGCTTTCCAAAGATATATTTCACGCCTCAAACAGAGCTCTGGATAAGAAGTTGTGACTGTTTTAAGAAGACCAAAGTGTCTGCAACCTTCCTGCCTATGCTGCACGGCCGTGCCACTTTTAGCATGGCCGTGCCAGGCATTAGCACGGCCATGCCAAGCCAATTTCCATGCCCGTGCCAGTGCCAGATTCAGCACGGCCGTGCCAGGCATTAGCACGGCCGTGCCAAATTCAGCACGGCCGTGCCATAATTGAAGATATTGGGATCAGCTACTGCCATGCTTGCACGGCCGTGCCACTTCCAGCACGGCCGTGCCGATTCACGAAGGGCAGCCTGCGATTTACTTTCCGATTTAAAACATATATATATAGCCCGATTGTAAGGGTTAAGGGAGAGTTTTTAGAGATAGTTTTTGAGAGCCTTTGTAGAGAGTTATTGGAGAACGTTCTTAGTTTTAGATATTCATTAGTTTTCTTAGAGATTATTCTATCGATTTTAGTTTTCTTGGATTGATTTGAAGCAAGATTTGTGAAGATTCTTTGTATTATTCATTGACGACGGATATCAAAGTTCTGAACTTTTCCATTGATTCGCATCAATACAATTGGTATTATTCATTCTTGTTTATTAATCAAGCTTTATTATTCCTTAATCAGAATTCATGTTTATATCTACTATGCTTTTGGAATTCATTATTGCTTTGATTATGAATATGTGTGAGTAGTCTCCTAGCTAGGGTTTCGGGATGAAACCCGGCCTAGGTAATCTATGTAATTGAGGATTGATTTTGATAAACGGATTGTGATTAAATTGATTATATGCGATTGCATGTTAATTCATTATAATAGGAGTAGCTAACCTAGAATCTTGAATTTGATTGCATGATATTCTTGATTTGAACAAGAGATTGTGAATTGAGTATTTCATTATTGAATGTGGTTTGGTTATGTATCGAGTAATGTTAAGTGCATGAGAAATCCAAGCTTAGTATTGCCCGTTGTCTTCCTATCACATGATATTGATCAGACTTATAGTCTTTGCATATCCCGTTTGTCTCTGTGATTCCTTGTTGCTTAGTTACCAATGGTTAGGCGGATTCCCGTTCTCCCTAGTGTCTTAGTTTATTGATTTATTCCATCTTATTAGTAGTATTTTAGAACACCATTTTCCATTGATTTCGAACTAGCTTAGGTTTAAGATTGATTTGCAATTACTCTCGTTCCTCGTGGACCGAACCTTTATTTGCCATTGTACTTGGTTATAGGGTGTTCGTATAAGTATTGTTTGATTGAGAGTTAGATTGTAGCGACCGATTTAACCCTCGTCAGTAACCACCTGTAAAGACTCGTTAATAATAATTCTTGAAAGATAGAACTGTAAGAACATGAACTTGAAGCAAACACTGTACCTGCACGCCAAAGGGTCAACACCTCGCTAATGCTGAGTCCCCAAAATGTCATCCTCATCCTCATCCTCAGGGTCCTCCTGTGGCGGATCTCAAGGCCTCCTAATGTATGGTCGGCCAATAGTAATATGCTCCCACGACCACAACTGTAGTAGGATGAGTGGGCCTCCAATCTGTCTCGAATCTCGCTGACATGCTCGACATAGCTGCCGGTACAAAAAACCAAGAGTCGCACTCCCCCAGCTGTAGGTCGAAGCTGTCTCCCAGTCTCGAAGGAACGACAAGTAGTAGAGTGACACAGCATCGCCACTCTTGTCGGCGAATAGAATAGATCCCATGAGAGTGAGAATTTAAGCACGGCTATGGTGCTGAACTGTCAAGTCATCAGCTCCCTCTGGCATCTGTGAGAAGTGACGTCTGAGCCACGTCAACTTCAAAGTAGATCCCTCCAGAAACGGCTTATCGTTATCATCATGGCCAGGTCGAACTCCCAGCAACTCCTCAACTAGGTCATGCCATCCCTCAAATGGAGGTCCAATGACAGGAGGGCCGTGCACTCTCAGACCTAACAGGACGGCGACATCCTGTAAAGTTATGGTGGCCTCACCTACCACTACGTGAAAAGTATGTGTCTCCTGCCTCCACCTCTCAACAAACGCCGTAAGAAGAGATCGATCAAGCAAAAACCCTCCTCCCAAAATCCTATGTACACCGTAAAACCGAGAAAGCCTAACATACTCTAGTACTCCGCCCTCTACCCTCCACTCACGTCCCACGCTGACCATATGCTCCCTAACTAAGAGAACTCTATCAGCTATGCCACTCCAAACATCGTGGCTCCTATGGGAAGTCTGCAACCGTAGAACAGATGGATCAACTGGGCCTGGACGAATCACCGGCTCCATGGGACCTACACGATAACATAAAATTGAATTAATGTTAAGCGTTCGAGAAAAAACATAAATATTAAACAAGAATATATAAATAATCATGTTACCCAGATGATCCAACACCACCAATAAGAGTAGGACATGTCTTCTTGTTATGCCCAAGTCGCCGACAAACACTGCATGCCTTCTTCACACGATAGGGACGCTCATCCATTTCATTTCGAATTCTAGTGGACCGTCGGCCTGAGCCTCTTTTCAAATCTGGGTTGGCCATAGTAGTAGGCCCATTGTAAGCTGACCAGTGGCAAGGATCAGGAACTGGTGCGAAACACTTCGCGTATGAACGCCTATATTCGGCGGTCATGAAAAAAGAATCCACAAAGTCTGCATGTGATAGGCTTCGATGACGACAAACTGCTAGGACATGAGAGCATGGGAGCTTGTATATTCTCAATTTCTCACAAGTACATGTCTTGCTCAACAGATTCACAGTGTGGGAGTTACCACCTTTACCAGCTTTTCTCCTTCCACGACCGGTCCTAACCTGATACAACCCGATGGCATCATAGTCAAAAGCAATAACCTCATGGTGCGTGGCTTTCTCCATGTTGGCTTCTATTGTCTTCATAGCCTTTTCCGATAACTCATGGCCCTCTTCAAGTCTTCTTTTACTCCAACTTCTTTTAGTTGCAAAATAGGAGTTAACTCGAAAAAAGGTCATTTGCACTAAAGCGGTTATCGGGAGACATCGAGCCCCCTTTAAGACTCCGTTGAAAACTTCCAACATGTTTGTAGTCTTCACACCAAACCTGAAACCACCATCATGATGAATGGACCACTTACTGTACGGAATTTCCATCAAGTACCTACGGGCCTCTACATTCAAGTCACCAATTTTGTTGATGTAGTAATCAAACTTCTTCTTCTGCCTTGCAGTAGCTGCTTTGCCAAAGAGGTTCTTTATGACGACACTTTTAAATTTTGAGTTCACATTAGAAGCCAAGTGTCGTGTACAGTACTTGTGGTAGGCATTGGGCTCCTCCCAACCACTTCCAACTTCTTCCATTGCTGCTAAAATACCAGCATGTCTGTCAGATATCACACATAGCCCTTTCCTATCTGTAACTCGAGCACGAATACAAGCCATGAACCAAGACCAGCTATCATTGTTCTCTCCTTCGACAACCGCAAAAGAGAGGGGGAATAGTTGAAAATTGGCATCCGTTCCCATAGCAATAAGTAGAGTGCCTTTGTATTTGCCATATAAATGAGTGCCATCAATGGTGATAAGGGGTCTGCAGTGACGGAATCCATCAATACATGGCTTGAATGCCCAAAAGACTCGTTGAAAAACATGTGTTCCAGGAACCTTACTCTCTAACAACCTCCACTCAACAACAGTTCCAGGATTTGATTCCTTGAGAGCTTGCATGTACTTAGGCAACTGTTCATATGAACCCTCCCAATCCCCATAAATGAGTTTTATTGCCTTTTGTTTCACTAGCCATGCTCTCTTGTAGGTTATTTGGAATCCATCAAATTTCTCTTTCACAAGTTGCACCATTGTCTTGATTTTCAATGAAGGATCAACGCGAATGACAGCTAGAAGAGCATTGCAAACGAACTCGGAAGTGAGTAGCTTATGATCTCCCGAGTCGATGTCACCAACACAGTTACTTGCATGAGGGTCGTTGTACCTCACAATTTTAAACGTAGAGAGTGTTGGATCTTTCACTCCTCTAAGCCTCCACGAACAACTACATTGTTCTTTCCTCTTGCACTCAACAACATATTTCTCTGGCTCTGCCTCCACAACTCGAATTGTTTGATTTCTAGCTATGGAGTAAGATTTCACAACATCTTTCAGTTGTTGCAATGAGTCAAACTGTTGTCCAACCTCAAATTCTCCCCCATTGTTATATGTCTCATTTCCTAACCAAGACATCCATGAGTTATTCAAACGAGGATCAACTTGCGCCACTTCATTGAAGTCTAAAGTGGGGGCGCTTCCTTTAATTGCCTTATCACGAGCTTCAATTACCTCTTCATCATCATCTTCATCAGTGTCATTAATCTCTGCATTGCCAAATACATCAACATTGTTTGGGTCAAGAGAATCAAGAATGCCTTGTGGTTGTGTGCTTGTTGAGGTTCCAACATTAGGCGATGAGGCCGGAGACCTAAACTGTAACAGATGGTCATTGACATAATGTGGATCAACAAGCATTCTTGTGAATGACCCTATGCCCACACTTTGATGACCAGTGGAAAACAGTTGATCCACACTACCAAAAAAATCCATCCCCGGAAAGGAACCAGTGTTAGTTTGCACAACTGGCTCCTTTGGAACTTGTTCAATGAACAATTGCATTGCAACAGAAGACCTCTGAGTCACAGCAATCCACATAGCTCTAAGAGCGTTGTCGTCATTTAACGGAATTGCAACATATGCCCCAGCCATAGGATAACGCATAACCACCTTCAACTCCACACCTCTAGGATCAACACTCAATTCTTCGTATAGCTTGTTCAGAACTTGTGAATATGTCATCGCAGCATGTCCAAAAACAAATTTTTGATTCCCACCCCTATACGTTATATCGCTATCTTTGTGGACAATTTCTCCACCCCAATAGCAATATAGAGGGTAGTTCGGAACCTCCATGTTTCATTCTAGAAAAGACCATTATTAATCAAAGATATTAGATTGCAAAAATTCATTAACAGTGTGGCAATGTCCTAACATCAAGCAAGCAAACTACACAATTATAGCAACCTAACTGAGCTATGAAGGTCTTAATACCTCTTGAAGCTCAACATGGGCATAAGTCATGACTACATGTACTTTGTGTATAGAAGCTCTATTTTCACTTTCAAAATCAGCAATTATAGCAACCTAAACTGAGTAATGTGATCGAAACCATTAATAAATCTACAAGGGTTATATGTAAGGTAAGTAAATCAAAGCTCATGATATGTTATAAACACAATAATACCTCACTCTTTTTACACTAAGGGAAGAAGAAAGTAAAAGGAGCCCTACGTTTATCACAAACAACCAAAACCAACAACAACAACACATACATACAATTCTGAAACTCAATAACAACAACAAATCCAATAATTGAATACAAAAAATAATTAGGGCACTTACCACAAACAAGAACAACAACACGTTTCTTCTGAAATTAGCGAAGCCGACCACTAAAGTCGAACCCTCGGCGTCAACAGCGGCGGCCTTCGTTGCTGAGGAATGCTCCGGCGGCGTCGGTGGATTCCTTGGCTGCGCCGACTTCCGTTAAAGGAGGTATGATTTTGGTGGAAGGCGTGGATGGGATTTTGGTGAAAAGACGAAATTGAAAGAGGAAAGTGAAACCGCGAAATTATACCTGCTAGAATACCGCTACTTGAAGTAGCGGTTTATTAAACAAAAACCGCTACCTGAAGTAGCGGATTATTTAAAAAAAACCGCTACTTGAAGTAGCGGTTTATTAGTAAAAACCGCTACTTCAGGTAGCGGTTTTGCTGTAGACCGGATTTAAAATTTCTTCCCCCTGAACCGGTGACGTGGACGGTACTTTGGGAATTCTTAAAACTTTGGCTGCAATTTGGGAATTGCGGTTATTCGTAACATTAATTTGGGAAAGAGCTCCAAACAAGCACTATATTATGAAAAGGAAGGAGTATAAGAGTAAAAATTATGAAAAAGTTAATATTTGAAATTATATTATATCCAAGTTTTCAGGAGATTGAATATAAGAGGGAAAATCTTGCAGAATTAATCAACCATGTCATTTCACCTGCTACCTAGAAGAATTTTGCCTCATGTACTCAACCACAATTCACAATCCCCCATTTCTCAATTCCAGTAAGTGTTAGCTAATTTTTACTTTGTTTTTGATTTCTGCAAGCTAAATTCAATATTATTATTATTATTATTATTTTTTTTTTTTTTTTTTTTTTTGATTTTGGTGTAGGAAATTATTTCAATCAATTGGACCAAGTAGTTATGAGATTAGGCGAGGATTTAGATATAATTCATGACCAATTACCAGGAATTGTCAATTTTCTGTTAGAAATGTTCATATTGTTCAAAGATATTATCCCATTATGTTCGAGCCGAGGCGTAATTTTGCATCCTATAATGTTGTTCAAGAGAAGAAATCCCGAAAGATGTTGTATTATTTGACTGCTTTGGTGTTTGGAATGGTGGGATGCTCATATGCTGTTGTCCCCTTGTATAGGAGATTTTGCGAAGCTACTGGTTATGGTGGTACCGTTCAACGTCGTGAGGTGATACTTTTTCATTGATTTTGTATTGAATTATTGATGTATGGTTTGGGGAATACTAGTCGCGCATACTATTTTGGAGTGTTCAGGAAAAAAAAAAAAAACTGTTATATTAACTTATATAAGTTCTTCATCAATATGCCTCTATACACTTGTATGTTGTTTGAAGAACAACCGGTATAAATTTTGCTTACTGTTCTATGTCAAGTGGTTATTTTGTGATGATCAGCAACTCATTTCAAGCTTTCGTTGTTCAATAAATCTTGCAATGTGAAGGAGGGTGACTTGGGATTGATTTAGTCAAGCACGAAAAATTTGTAATAATGTGTTCGAACATTGTGACTGTTATGTTGCATCAAGTCTTATACTTGGTATTATAATTATTGTGGGTTTGTCACTTTGTTGTATAGTGATGATTCCAGCTCTTAAAAAGTTTATACTGGCATGAGTGACCCCCCACTTTTTTTTTATTTTTTCTTTTTTTTGGGAAGAGATCACTAGCTAAATTTATGCAGTAATGCAACAGTGAAGAGGGAGGGTAGTGCCATTATATTTGAAAAATTGGCTAAAGTCATCCCTGGTAATCGTATGTAGAAATTAGTTGCCTTTGCTCCTGAGTATCTCCATTACTTTTGGAATAATGAGTATAACTAATTCTGTGCACTTTCTGCAGACTGTAGAAGAAAAGATTGCGAGGCATTCAGAAGATGGTACTGTCACTAAAAGGTCTGGTTTCTCATAGCTGTACATACATTGATTCTTCTCTGCATCTTATTTAAATGTTATAAGGAATGGTGAAGGTTATAATATGAATGTTCAAGGTTTTGCATTTTCAATTGTATGCGCTAAATATGAAGGTTTTGTATCCCTAAATTGTATGTTGAGAAATGCCATCTGTAGAGTTACAGAGAAGGGTTTTCTGCCCGAGGAGTGGGTGGGTGGGTTATTGGCCTGGTGATTCCCTTTGAAATTCCATCTTGAAGGCAAGCATGCATATGGATGGTTAGGAAGGGAATATAAAGGTTAACAATTGTGTGATTGCACTTTCTCCATCAAAAAGTCTTGTGATTTCAACTATCTATGCAGTTTAATTAATTGTTATCCTTGGTAAGAACATTACATAGAAAATCAAAGAATATTTACTAACATGCTAAATCATTAGATCAAAAAACTTGTGAAGATTTTGAGATATCTAAATGATGAAATATCTTTGGCTTTTTCATTCGATTTGAAGCTAAAATGGCATTAATTAGCAGTTTCTCTCTGACACGTATCAATTCTTAGCTAAGCAGTGGTAACTAGTGGCTGAATATGAGCACTAATGGAATTAAGGAATGGGTGATAGCCTAAAGTGGTTCATATGGAGCCAACTTGCTAGCTGTTGTAGCTCTTTTATGTGCAAATTTGACCTTCAATTTTTATTATGCAGGACCAGTATATATAGTTTTAATGAGGAATTAAGTTAGTCTAATGTTGCTTCCGTATGAACGGTGAAGTATGATATAACTGGACTTTGATGAGCTGAGAAAATATTGAGCCTTGGACTTGAAGAGTTTTCTCTCTCAAGATTTCTGTTTCTTAATCTCCTTGGATTTATTGCTATTTATTGTTGATTAAACGTGGTGTGGGTTCAATGATAATTGCTTGCCGTGAATATGTGTAAAATTCAGTTATAACTTACGGAGTACTTAGTACCAAGTAGCTAGCAAGTTGGATCCATGTCCAATTTTTTATTTTCAACCCCCTCCCCATTCCCTTGTCCACGTTTTCTTTTCTTGTTTCTCTGTCAGTTGCTTGAAAGTTTTGAAGTTCTTTTGTTACAGAGAAATTATGGTTCAATTTAATGCCGATGTTGCTGATGGGATGCAGTGGAAATTTACTCCTACTCAAAGAGAGGTATCCATTTCTATAAAGCCTTTACATTAAATTGTGGTTGCAATATACTCTATCAACATGTAACTTTTCACTAATTTTTACTTTCTCTGCAGGTGAGGGTTAAACCAGGAGAAAGACAGAAAGTGCTTTGGCATTTTATACTGCTGAAAATAAAAGTTCAACTCCAATTGTTGGTGTATCCACATATAATGTTACGCCCATGAAGGTAAGAGTTTCTAATAATGTTACCTTTTCTTTTACTTAATTAAGTTTTTGAAGTTAAACCTTGGTTATAATAATATAGCATTATTGACATTATCCTCCAACTGATCACAAGTACACCTGCTACTCTGCCATATATTTGAAAGATCTGAAGTCTCCATGAATTCTCTGTCTGTAGCTAACAGCTAATGCTGAGTTTGGCATCATCATACTTTAGGTCACAATTTTTAATTAGTTGAAAAAGAAAAACACAATGAATGAACTTATTGATTGGAACTTGAATGTCATGACATCTTTAATAAAAATCATAAGCAACCAATGCATGTTTAATACTCCGAATACAGAATCTAAACCCTTAAATTTCTGTAAGACCTTTATCATTCGAGCATGCTGTATGTACCCAATAGGCTTTTAGTGACTTTTGCATTACAATTTTCCTCGTTCTTTTGATTTTAACAGACATTTTGTTACTTCCAATTATTTTAATTTGCCTTCAAGATTTAAATGGATTTGCTTCTTATAGGCAGCGGTGTACTTCAGCAAAATACAGTGCTTTTGCTTTGAGGAGCAGCGACTTCTTCCTGGGGAGCAGGTTGACATGCCTGTAAGTAGTAACAGTTCATAATTTATTTGAGTTCTAAGAATCTGTTATTCAATTGTCGATATAATAAGTAGTGCCAATCAAAATTTACAGGTCTTCTTATACATTGATCCTGAATTCGAGACTGATCCTAGAATGGATGGCATCAACAATATGATCCTATGGTATACGTTTTTCAAGATATCTGAGGAATAAAAGACGAACGGGATCTTGCTTGATTGCAAAGTTGCAGATCATTACTACATTACCTGCTCCATGTTCAGTATGGCTGCAGGCTTCTTAAATCAGGTAGTCATCATCATGGCTAGTTCATTACATTTCTATAACAAGTTTTCCCTCCTATCATCAATACCAGTTTCAAAAGCAGCTAGATTAGAAATCAGATTCTTGTGTGTCATCACATCATTTTTGTTACTTAAGAGGGAATTTTCCTGCAATTTTGGTCTAGAATCTCTAGATGTTAGGTTGTACTGTAACATTTACCAATTAGTCATTACTCATAGTACGTAGATCTCATTCTCTGTCATTTGAAATTGTTTAAAGTACGAGTAATAAGCTTAATTTAATTATAGATGGGCCTTGGGTGTTGTTAAACGTCGTTCGCATTTTACTAGGTGACGTTCACATTTTTTACATGAATTTCCTAAATTGCCCTCCGTATATAAATACTCGATAAACTAAGTTAGGGCTTTACGAGACATTTCCCATCTCACAAAATCACTCTTTGACACTTTCTCTCTCTAAAACCTCCCAAAAAAATCAGAAATTTAAAAAAAAAAAATCAGATTTTTTTTTTTTTAAAAAACAAAATAGTTGAAGGTTACTCAAACACAAGCAAATCGTTGAATCCGACAATGGCAGATCGACGGAGAATTAGGTTGACGTTTGGTGGTCGTGGTGGCGGCGTTAGCGGCGGCCTAAGTTTTTTTTTTTTGGTTTTAAATTTTTGAATTTTGAAAAAAAAAAAAATCTGGACAAGGGTACATCCGCCCAAAAATTCCGGAAGTCAAGAGGAACTTCCGGAAATTTCAGGCGGAAGTGGGGTTTCCGCCTGAAATTTCCGGAAGTTCCCCTGGACTTCCGGAATTTCTGGGCGGAAGTTCAGTTTCTATTACGTTTAAATATAGTTTTTTTCTTTACTTTTTTCGAGTTTTCTATGAAATTATTAAAAATTTAGAATTTTGTTTTTTAAAAAAGTCTAAAATCGGTCCAAAGCAGTCCGGTTCGAATTTTGGGCCGATTTTTTCACTTCAGTTCTAGCTTACTTAGTCCGGTCTTCGGTTTTTGAAATTAAAATTTTCAATCTTAATTAATATTAATTGTTTTTTTTTTTGCCTTTATTAATGTTAAATTGTTATTTGCCTTTAATTTTGGGAAATTCTCTTTGGTAACATTGTAATCCTTAATTTTCTCAGTGCACTAGGCGAAAAATGTAAATCCGCACCGGTTCAAAACCCCTCTTTCGCACCGGTTTTGAACCGGTCCGGATTTGAAGGATGCTAAAAAGAAAAAATTTTCGCACCGGTTCAAAACCAGTAGGAAAACTAAGAATTAGCGCCAAACCGGTGCTAAAACTAAGTGTCGCGCTTTTTATTTTTTGGTTTTAACTACAATTGGCACTGGTTAACCAGTGCCCATTATGCCTTCAAAAAATAACAAAAAATTGCAATTTTTCACTTAACAATCAGCAGACAATGAACATCACCAAAATCGTAATATACATTAATCACACACACACACACACATATACATATATATATATATATATATATATATATATATATATATATATATATATATATATATATATATATTCATCAAATAAATTGTTATTTTACAATTTATTTATAAAAAATAAAAAATAAAAAATAAAAAAGCAACAATAATGAACAACAAAATAATAAAATCCTTGAATCTTGAATCCTTCTTCTATGTGGAGTACTACCTGCATCAATTGACACTACAAGAAAAAGGCCAGATTCCGACGGACACAAAATTCCGCCGGAAATGCTATAAATTCCGGCGGATTTATATTCCGTCGGAAATTTCCGACGGAATTCCTGCGGAATACAAATCCGTCGGAATATATGGGCATTCCGACGGAATTATTCGTTGGAAAATGTATATTCTGACGGAAATAAAATTTCCGACGGAATATTGCGTCGAAACATTAATTTTCCGACAGAATTAAAATCCGTCGGAAAATTAAGTTTCCGACGGAATATTCCGTCGGAACCTTATTTAAAGAAAAAAAATCTTTAAACATTGAAAGTTTGAAACCCTTAACTCCTTCTTCTTTCCCCTTTTTCTTTTTCTCTCCTTATCTCCTTCCTTCCTTCTCTGTCTTTCCCCTTTTCTCTTTCCCACTCCTTATCTCCCTTCTCCTTCCCCTTCTCCTTCTTCTTATCTCCTTCTCTTTCCGGATTTCCCCCTTTTTCTTTCTCTCTCCTTATCTCCTTCATTCCTTCCTTCTCTTTCCCTTCTCCACGGCATCAACAACGGCGCAACAACATCAACGACACCAACACCCATAGCAACGGCACCAACACCCACAGCAACGACCAACATAACCGAGAACCAGCAGCAACGACCGACATCAAGATCTAGGTTTTTTTTTAATTTTTTTTTGGATCTTTACTAATTTCAAAAGATAATTTAAATGTATACATAGTTGTTTTATTTGATTTCATTTTTTTATTTGTATTTTTTTCGGATCTCAATTTGTATTTTTTCGATTTGTATTTTTCGAATCGATTTGTATTTTTCCGATTTGTATGAATCGATTTCATTTTTTCAGTTTTTATTTTTCGAATTGATTTTTTTTTTATTTGGGTTGGGTTGTTGGTGGTGGCTAGACAGGGTGGGTGGTTGGCGTGGGGGAGGTTTGGACTGGTGTGTTAGGTTTACAAGTAATTCTAGAACAAGAACTACTTTAACAATTGTGGGAACAAAACCTAACTATGTATAATTGATAATGAATTATACAAAAATCCAAATACAATTCAATGTATTACAACCAAACACCAAATTACTAAAGAATTACAGAAAATACAATGAAAAACACTAGTTGTGAAAGATAATGTACTTGCCTCTACTCCAAGCTTTAACAATCAACATGAACATGAGAAATCGGTGACCACTTGAGTCTCAATCCTTGATACACTGACTTAGGCGTATGAATACATTCCTAAAGAGTTTAATTTCCCCCACAATGGTGCTTGGGTTTGATCCGGAAATACTCTTTGAGATACAAAAGTCAGCCCAACGTTCTTTGCACTAAGAATCGATGAAAGATGATCAAAACACTAAGAAGGATTAATTGGAAGAGATTTCTCACAAAAGTTTGCGAGAAGTTTGTGAGGAATTATGAAGAATACTTAGGGAGAGAAGAAGAATAATTCTGTTCATATATCGAATCCAAAAAAAACAAGCCTTTTATTAAAGACTTAACCGTCAGAATTTCGCGAAAAACTGGCAGGCGCGGGCGCGCCTCAGAATGGAGCGGGCGCTCCTCTCCTGTACTTCCGAAATTCACTGAGGAAGGCAGAAGGGGGCGCGGTTTAGGCGCGACCCAAGCGCGGGCGCGCCACTTGGACGCGCGGGCGCGCCAACTTTCTTCTTCCAAACCTTCAGATTCCAGAGAGGTCCGCGGTTTAGGCGCGACCTCAGTGCGGGCGCTTCTCATGGTTCGCGAGCGCGCAACCATCAACACTCTAAATCTTCCAACAATCCTCCCCCATTTAGAGTGTTACTTAAAACATTCTCCAGTTCTTACAATTAAACCACATCTCATGCATCAATGTCAATGTCCCTTCGGATTGAATTGACACCTAGTACAACACACTTAACGATGATCATATCCCATGATTTCCATACGGATTGAATCACACGGATATATCCAACCATTCAAAGTTGAAGTACACACAAGACAAATCGAATTAATCATCACTTGACACCTTTAAACAGCCATGTGTCCGTATCTTTCATAAGTTCATCAAAGTCTATATGTCCAACTAGACTTCTTGAAGCGGCTAAACTTCGAACTTATATAGGTAGGTTCTCATATACGTAAATGTGTCCTTGTGACAAGACACTTACATTTAGAGCTTCTCAACTCTAAACCTTTGAGAACTTTAAATGACGCTACCTTACACATCACAAGTACCATAGCAATATGGGTCATCAAATATTGCTAACAAACAACAAAAAATGCAATTCAACCACATTGAATCT